GGGAAATTTCATCTTGTTAGATACTCTAAAAACCTGCCCACAAAAGGAAAATTTTCTGTTTAGGCAATAAATTCATAATCTCCATTACCAAGTGAAAACCATTCTTTAATTTACAGACAGCCAAAGCAATATGTAAAAAACTTAAACGATTCAATGCGTTAGGCTAATGCTGCCACATTTTAGAAGAAAAGAATCCAATACAAATTTCAGTAGGAAGAAAGGGGCTGAAAATAGGAAAGTGCAACTCTTCAGAGCAAATACTTGTAAAGACTGATTCACATGTACCTTTCAACTTCATTCTCCAAATGATTCAAAACTCTTAAAAAAACATACTAAATTTCCATTAATTCTATCTGATTCACATTTGGCAGCTAGAAGAAGGTATGAAGCAGATCAAAATAAAAACATATTACTTGTAATATAAACTTCCAATGAAATCTGAAATGGAAAAAACTAGCCTTTCATTTTGCTTCAATAAAGAGCACAGTGACAAGAGCAAGGAGCTTTGTAAACTTTTTTTTTTTTTTTTAATTATCAGCACAAGAAAAAGAGTTGCAGTAAGCATGGCTATGAATTCCTGATCACAGGACTTCATAAAGGCATTTAACAAGTGAACAAACAGAAGTTAATATTCTCAACCATGCAGAATAGCAAGGAGGTGGACAAAGAAATGTTAGATTCCATAAATGAGAGCTGTTAGTTCAGTATACGGAGATATAGACAATAGTTGATCTGGACACCTGAACAATGAAGTCAAGCACTGAAAGCATTAAGATCTTGTACAGACGGTTTACATTTGTCATGTCCTCTGAAATTAAAAATTCAGCATCTAAGTTTTAGGTGTAACTGTAAAAAGAAATGAAATTTGTACACAATCCTACCCCTTTTTGGAGACAAAATCAGGGAAGATTATAAAAAAAAAAATAAAAAAATTAAGAGCTGAGCCAAAAGTAGGACATAATGCTAAAATACTTAATTTCAGCAGAAATGTTCTATATCATTGCAATCCTGATGTTTCACAACACATCACATGCTCAGAAATCTGCTATAATAGTAGAGCACATCCCTGCAGTGTCACTCAAAATGTGTGTAAACTTTTATTGAATATGTAATTTATTTCTTTACAAGTACATACAAGGGTAGAACTTCAAAGTAAGGACCTACAGGTTATTTCTGAAGTCTCAGATTTGATTTGTGACAGTAAAATTCCAGATGGTGATTACTTAAGTCAAATTTACTGAAGGATAGGATTCCTCTCCAACACACAATACTAAAAAAATCATCTCTGAAATCCATCAACCTTGATAGAGCTGGGCAATATAATAGAAAGATTAATCTGGAGTTGACAGATCACAAAGGAGCAGATGGTTAAAGTAACACCTGAAGTATCTTTTCCCAAGAAATCAGAAATACAAAAATTGCGTATGACTGCAAAGAAGCAATTTTAAGAAAGATTTTTCATTAAAAGTGAAAGAAAAAGAAGCTGTAGGGTACACCCATAGCCACAGAAGTGCTGGCCACAAGATCCTCCTAAAAAGTCTCTGGTCCAGCTTCCCATTTGTAATGGGACTGCTGCCCACATCAGGTAATGTAAGCCACAGCTCTCTCCTAATCAAGTCTCGAACATCTGCCAGGAAAGGGATTCCGCAGTTTCTCTGGGCAAATTGCTTCAGTACCACCTCCTATGTAACACTTTTTTCCCTAATGTCCAACCTGAACCCCCTGAGCCACAATTTGCTAGTTTCCTCTTGTTTTAACACCTAGCACTATGAAGAAGCTTGGCTCTGTTACCCTGGTAAGCACCCTTCCAGTACCTGTGGGCTGCTATTCAAGCACCCCCTCGGCTCCTAACAAGTGAACAAAACTGGCTACCTTAACATGTCCCCATCAGTCACATTCTACTGGACTGTCTCCACTTTCTCTACCACCCTCCTGAAGTGAAGGAACCCAAAACTGTATACAGGTATGGCCTCATCAGCCCCAAGGAGAGGGGACGTTAACTTCCCTTAATCTGCTGGCTATGCCACTCCTAATTTTGCTCAGCATCACTGGGGTTACAAGTACCCAGCTGCATCGCTGTCACTAATTACATTTACTTTCAACTATCTGAATGACATGGCAGGCAAATGAGAGAAGGAGAGGGGTCTGCGGAGAGGTTGAGGGCTGCTGTGTAAGGGAAGAACAGATATGTCAAGTAATAATTTGTGACATCCTCCATCAGCGTAATTTTAACAGGAAAATGTTTTCTGCTGAGTGTACACACATGTAACTAGCATCTGCCTTCAGCAAGTAGACAGTAGGACCTTGATTCACCATTAATAACCACTTACATCATAAGTCAGTGAATCTGCCTCATTGGCTACTGTAAGGCCTGCCAGTTCTCCAAGACCCAGCTCATTTTCAAGGGCTTCATCTGTTCCCATAATGAAAGACTTCCCTGAAGAAGGAGGGAATGTTAAAGCTTCCACTGCAAGAAAACAAAACAAAACAAACAATCCTGAAACATGGGTTTAGACACATGTTGATTAATAAAAGCATATTTTCCACTTCCAAAATCCTAAACATCTCTCAAATAGCTGAGGGCAAAAAGATATAAAAAGATATATAAAAATAGCCACTCTAAGGATAATCACTGTACTTACCAATAAACAGTATCCTCTGAACATAATACTTAGACTTGAGGTGTGCACAACTTAAGACAGTAACTGTAATTAGCCATAGGAGGGAAGAATACACTACCACTCACCCATATATAATGTAAAAGTAACACAGAAAAGCTCAGGCCCTTCCCCAACTTCACTATAAAATATGCAAATAAGCTCTGGAGAACTAGCAAAAATGTAGAGAACAGCTGATGGGAGCTGCTGGACTCTTCCTAATACCACATCCACACACATCCAAAATCATGTCTACAATGAAGCTGTTTACATTCACTCCAATCTAGCAACACAACTTGAAGCTGACAATACATCACTACTTGTAAAATCAGTTTAACTATCAAATAGGTTAGTCAGCACTGAATTCCACGTTTTTACCAGCAGTATCCAAACTTACTAGTTTACAGCTGCTATAGTATGTCTATAGGAGCTCCAGTCACTGTAACATAAACACATCCATAGGCAGGTTCACTACAAGTGGAAGGATCAAAGGTTAAGAGTACAGAGTTCACACATTTTTACCACATAAGGCTCTGCACCAAGTGATGTGACTCAAAAGAAGCTGTGCCTTTACCAACTTCCCTGCACAATAGATCTCCAAATCTATACATCACAAAAGGGTGACTGAATAGATGAAAACATGTTATCTTCTGGACACAAAGGACTTCACTCAATTTTATACACCTTTTGTCTCAAATTACAAGGGTTTTTCAGTAAATTATGATTTTTTCCCCCTTTTAGCTCCATTGTAAATACAAGCCTTGGCAAATACAGTTGCTACCAAGGAGAGAAAAAAGGAAACGCCATCTCATTCTTGGCATCTTATTTAGTTTAAAAGCATTAACACCAAGTTAAAACCAAGCAAACTATGGTTTACAATGAATAGCCTGAACTGTTCAGGCTGCTTCCCTCTTGTCCCAAAGGCATTAGGTTCAGATGTTATTCAATTACCCTCCAGTCCACCCAACATAAAGCTAATCTTTCCATGGTCTTTTCATTCCACACACATACCTCTATTGAGCATCCTGTTTTGTTTCTATTACTTTTTATAACCAAATACAAGCCCTTCAAGCTCTACCATTTGATTAGGTCTCTTTGTTACTACCTTTTAATCACAAACATCTCTTACCTTCTTCACCCTGAAGTATAAACTACCATTCTCTTTTTCTCTCTTTTGAACTTACGATGCAATATTCCACTCAACACGCAATACATACAGGACAGCAAATTTGAAAAGTTACTAGAATGAAAAAATAGTATGCCAAAAATATCATGGAGTCTCAGATTTATAAAGGAATACACAGCTAATAGTTTGTAATACTGAACTCAGACTGATAACAATCAGCTGTCCTGTTCTGTTTTTATGAGTCCATCTGAGTGTCTGAATTAAAACACACATTCTTGAAAGGACATGAAAATAGAGCTCTGCTAATATGGATCTCAGTACATGTGAGAAAAGTTGGAAAGGAAACATTCAACAAAAAATTCCTCCACTTCTGAAAGTGTTGCTAAGTTACCCCCTTCTTTCATAAAGCAAATCACTGAGCATGTAGGAAATAGAACTACTGAGATCTTTGGTAACTATGCCACACGCTGGGACTTTTTATGCATCTTAATTATAACTTGGCTGACCTAGTTTTTCACACTCACTGAAAGATTGCTAAGTGAAACCCATGTTTTGCTCATTTTTCAAAAGACATATTTACTAGTTAAATAAAGAGCACATGACATGATCTTCTACAAATTAATATAGCCTGATTATTTTATTATAATTTATATTATAAATGATTTAGTAACTTATATTATAGATGATTTAGTAACTTTCAGAGATAATATTAATGAAGGTAACCACATGCCTCATTGCAAAGATGTGTGGCTTTCCATACTTGGACTAGCCGCTATGAGATTATTTTTTTTTAATTTTTGTAACACACCATGGAAATTAATACACTGGGAAGCTGTAAGTTGTTCTGCATGATTCACTACAGAATCATCACTTGCATTTAAAAGCTATACCTAGCCACTTACATTTACCTGCAGAGCCTCTATCTTTGCACTTGGAAAAAGAACACACACATATATCTGTGTGTATGTATATATATATATATACACATACAAACATTTAAAATTATGTTAATGGGGAGAAAAACAGATGCTCTTATGTCCTGAGAGTTTATGTTCCACACTTGACTGCCAGGCCTGAGCACAAACAAAAGGAAGTGGCTTAAGATCCTCATATCACAAAGCCACTAAGCACCAAATGAGTTTTTTTCCCATCATGTTCAAAGGTATTCAGCCAAGACTTTACCTCACTAATAGTGACTGGAGAGGAGGAATGGGAATGCCATTTATCACACTTAGGCAGAACTCAAAACGCAGAATCGGTATTTGTAAGGTGCTTGGAAAGTCTTAGAGGACAATCTTTAAGCAGAAGGAACTATAAACATCTACTGTTTACAAAGGTGTATGCAAATTTTTAATACTTACCTTCATCTGTCCTGTTTATCTCATGTTCAATGAGCCTTGAACTACTGGGCCTAGAAGAAGGTGCAACAGATGGCTGTAATGAAGGGAGATCATCGACATCTCTCAAGTTTGCAAGCATATCTTGCAGCTTTGATCTGTTGGGCCCTAACCAGAAAAAAACCAAAAAATTAAATTGTTTATGCAAAGTCCATGATGGTACTATTTATATCAGATACGCTACAGTAGCACATGCAACAATGGATCCTACCTTGCATTATAACATTACTACAGAAAATCTAATGAGCATCTATTTTCAGCAGTAACTAACCATCCAGCATGAAATGAATTTCTTGAAAAGAAAGTGATAGAAGCAACTGAGAACTGTGAATGCACAATTATCCCCACATTTATAAACTCACACTGCTACTTGCATGGGATGCTGAAGAATGCCTCCAACTGAGTGACACTGATTATTAGACTATTTACTTTTCCAAAACAATAGCTGGCATTTGTGAATATTTTAAAATTTGTGCATCAGGTACTTTGTGCAGTATATTCTTATGACAGCATGATTATTTTAAATTTATCTATGCAGTAGTGTAGTATCGTGAACTACACAACCCAAAATGCTATATTAAACTATAAATGCAACTGGATTCACTGGCCTACTTCCTGAAGCTATATATGGTGAAGACCCATGCCCTTCTTGACACTTACCTGTGCTTTGCTCCATCATTTTCCCACATCCCTGTTTTGACTGTTTTATATAGGATTGAGGCTGAAACATATCTTCGGTAGTTTTTCCTGTTGTAAGTTTAATTAAGAATGGGAAAATGTCTTACCCATAGTCCATTATGTTTTTCCTAGACCAGTAAATAATACAGCTATTTTTAAGCAGCTTTAACACAGAAGTGTACTCCAACATATGTATCCTCTCATAAAACCATTCAATGATTCTATTCTCTTATTACTTCACAGGAGTGTTTACTACAGCCTTGCAAAATCGTAAGTTTACTAATGCAGTTGCAAACGCTACTTTGTCCACCCTAATCATAATGACAGATAATAAACTAAATTGTATTTAACTTGTCTGTCACAAAAATATTACTTGATTCAGGAAAACAGTAGGTAGGATTTTGCAAGATTGTTTTACTACAATACCTGATTTATAAAAACAGTATTTTACTTAGTAGTAGTTCAGTGTCTAAGCACCATTTATTATGAGATTAAAGTCATAGAAACAAACTTTGTACAATTTAATGTCAAGATATTTAGTCCCTTATTTTTCCCCAGACTTCCTTCCTCACATTCTTCTTCACTACGTGCAATATCATGAATAGCTGAAAACAAGTTGTGATTCTTCCTGATTTTTCTGCATTGATGCCCCTTCCAACGACGGTTTGTCCATGGAAAGATGCTTAATTTCTGTACTGCAGTAAACCATTTGGTCTCCCAAGATCAAACCAATCAAATCAATCCAAAAGGTAATTTGGATTGATCCAAAACCGTAAATGTACTGGGCAGTAGTTATCTTCATGAAGGAGCACTGGATGTCCAAGTGCTGCCTTACATCAGGAATTTTTCTCATAAATACATAAAGCCTGTTCCAATAATATCTATGTCAATAGATATTAATAATATTAACAATTAAATATTAAGTTTTATTACAAAAAAATAAAAAGCACTCAACAGTTGTTCAAGAATATAGTTTCAACAGTTTGACTAAATTTCTGCTAAGTTAACCCTTCAACTATTTACCCTGAATTACATAGCATGTCTGCATATTTTAAAAATAACAGACAAGTTACAAAAATCAATTTCACTGAAGTAATATATTGGTATGCCCTCTCTATCTTAACTATAAAGAAATTTGGAATCAATTTTGTGAAACATGAATACTTTAGTTAGCCAGCTCAGCTTCTTGTCAGACTTGCAATTAATTTCCAGTTTATTCCAAAGATGACAAAAATCTCACCTGAGAAATTTAAAGTACGGTGATGATTCACTTTTTTTCATAAAAAAAAAAAACAAAAAAGAAGGAGGTTTAGTTTGTGTTTTGAGAGCATAATTTCAGCAACATAACCAACTGCTGAGTAACAGCTTATCACAGTATCATACAAAAAGTAAAAAGTCAGCCTCAATGATGTGAGGATCTGACCCCTTTTGCATCATTATGCTTGTCTCTTCGGAAGTAAAAATTTCTTCAGTATTCATAAGCATCTTCCCACAAAGGGAGAAACACCCCTCAAATTTCTTACTGGGCTACATGTAATATTATTAATTTACATCATTTACAATCATTCTCAATATGCCTAGATGCATTCACAGCTATATTTCAAACAGTGTTTCATTTTAAACACTTCATCTGAGTTCAAAAACTCTTAAGGCTTACTTATCAAAAAACATTGGTTTTTACAAAACAAATTTGTATTTCAAGAAACGTAACAAAAATATAATACAGGGCTAGAAACTGTATTTCAGATACTGATCATAATTTTTTGTTTGGATAACAATACCCAATATTTTTAAAGGCTAGTCCCATAGGTATGAAAGTCAATAAATAAATCCTGTGATTTACAAATAAACTGATGGTCAGAGTTGCTTCCTATTTCGAGCCCTGCATAACAAATTATGATGACGGCATGACTTTCATGTTGTGAATGTTAAATACAAACAGGGGTGGAAATTAACCTATTTTCTCCCTCTGTCATCTAGTAGGATACTCAAGAGAGTTTCTGTTTTGTTTGGGTTTTTTTTTTTATTTACATAACAGACTTTAACTTTTCCTGTGAAACTGGCATGTTTCCAGCTAAGAAAGGGTTCTGAAGTCTTTTATATTAAAGTGTGAACTTTTAAACCAGTGCCTTTTACAATTTACGTTTCTGAATAACGTAAGTATAATACATGCTCAAAGCAAGAATTTTTAATTAATCCACCACTTGATTGGAAGAAGTTACACCTAATTCAACTATTTAAGAGGTAACTTGATTGACTGTCATTAATTTCAACCCCTGAGAACTGGTGAACAGGAAAGCAGTCAGGAGCAGCAAAGTAAAAAGAGTAAGTAATTTTAGGAAAACATTGAAAGAGAGATAGAATTAAGGGTGTGAAAGATGTGGGATTTATGATTTTAAGGTGCAATGTTTTCCACTTACTCTTCACCCCCTTTTTCCCCTTGCGCTCCTTTTTGTATTGTTCCTTGAGTTTGGTTATTACTCCCTGGTCGACATTCCAAGCTTCAGGCATGAGACACTGGTCTTCCTTTTCTAAACAAAGTGAAACAAATGAAACATCCTTTTTCAATAATGTCACCAAGTCTTCCCCACTGAAGAAGGCAACAGCTGCTGTCAATGGCATTTGTCTTTTATTTTAAACAGACAGAAATAGCACCAAGCCTGTGAAAGCTGTAAAACTGCTACTCATATTCCACTTCTCTTTGCTCAGAATTTTCTTAACAAAAAATTGATGAAACCTCGCATGCCTCATTTCTATAACCAAGCACATAGCTGTTCATAAATGTAAGCAACATTTACTTTAAAATAAATCAGGACACATTTTTCAGCTTTTTCTTTCCTCCAGGGAAAGAATTATTGTATCTAGAAGCAGCAGTTATGTTACTGGTCAACAAAACTGTACAACTCAGATGCTGAGTCACTGTATTTCAAATTCTCATTTCACTGTCTTTGTGCTCTGTTGTCATTTACACAAAACAGCAGCACATTTAAATCATTTTGGAACATGGTGTATATGTCACCGAGGTTTGAATACAATCTTAAAGCACTGAAGCCACACAATTTCACAAAAACGGGAAAGTCTGAGTTATTAATCTCTGAAAAAAAATACAGAAAAACATTTCAACATGCCTAATAGAAAAAAAAAATCCCCACTTTTTTTTTTTTTTTTTTTTTGCTAAAAAAAAAAAATCTCTCTCAAATTGCTTCCCCTGTGACATGATACAGAGAAGAAATATGCTTCCAACAGCACGGTATTTGCAGGTTTTGAACAAAATGTGTTACATGAGTTCAAATCTCTAAGTCATTTTTTTCCATATATGGAAAGACTGTACTGAGGCAGCTTAGAAAAATAATTTGCATGAGGAGGGAGGTAATACAGCTTTTCCTCATTTATATTTATTTTCATGACCATTACAGCTACCATTTTTTTTTTAAATGCATTATCTTTTTGCTTTGTTTTCCTCATTAAAATATCAACCTTAATATTTTAAAATTAATTCCTTTCAGACCAAGTTTGCTTTGCACATCAATAAACTATTCTACACCTTTTAAAATATGAAAAATAATAAATTTATCCTTAGACTAATATGCAGAAAAGTGTATTAATTGTCTGTAGAGGAAGCACAACACTATCAATCACAGCCTGAGGGAGCCACTATGATTGGACAGAAGATACAAAACCAGACATAGGTTATTACAGGGACTGACTTGTTAGAAATAAGCTATGCTGAAAAAGACCTAGGGATCCTCCATCAACATCAAACTGATCAGCAGTCAGCAGCATATTCTTGCAGCAAAGGCGATCAAACATATCCTGGGCTGTATTAACGAGAACGTAGCCAGTAGGGTGAGGGAAGTGATTATTCCCCACTGTTTGGCACTTGTGAGACCACACCCTGAGTACTGCATCCAGTATAATATTTCTTATTCTGAGAAACCTTGTAAATATAATACAAAGAACGCAGTACTGATGTAGTATGGCAAGTCCAGGGGAGCCATTAAGATGATTAAGGCAGCTTGAGCAGATGAGCTAGAAGGAGGGGCTGGGACTACTGTGAGCGTTCAGCAATGGCAAAAGAGGTATCTTAGCGCTGCCTACAACCACGTAATGGGCAGGTGTAGAGAACACAGAGACAGACTCTGCTTGGACTTGCATCACAGAAGGACAAAATACTGTTTATCACAAAGACAGTCAAATACCAGAATACTGCCCCTGAGAGTTTATGGGAACTCCTTCCTTGGACGATGTTCAAAACTTGACCAGAAGATGGCCAGACTAACCTGCTGCAAATGAACTTGAGCAGGAGGAACCCTCCAGTCACAGTCCTATACACATTATGTGACAGATTAATTCAAGACCCAAAGTCTTGAGGCGTTAGTCTTTTTGCAGCAGCAGAAAATTGAGAGGTATTAATAAACTGAAGAGAGACTTCATCTGTGGGCTAAGTCATGTCCTCTTACAACATATGCCCAATTGAGTACCACTAATGATCAGAAACTGTGTGAAGAACTCAAAAAGGTATGAGAAACAAGTATGTATTATTTCTGAGACCAGGATATAAGTTTTAATCATGCTTTTCCTCTCTGGCTAGGCAAGATTTTTTGCTCTCCTCCAACAAAATGTTTAAACAGATTTATATTAGATTGTATTGTTGCCATGAAAATACTTAATGCACTAATTTTCTACAGACTGTCCCAGGATGCTTCCTACATGTCTCATAGTTTCTGTTCAACTTCACAAGTGGATCCTGAACTGTGCAAGTGCTTTTTAGTTTAAAAATTACCTGAACACTTCTGATGACCTTTCAAGCCCAACTGGTTCAACAGATTCCTGTAACTGATAAGTAATGCTTGGAATCCAAAATGTAGCAAGGACTTCCTCTGTCTGCTTCTACCCTCACTACAACATCACTCTCCTACACTATATTTAACAGTTTCACTTCAATCAAATTAACATAAGTGATTCAGAATGACAGTTCCTTGAAGAAGCTTATTCTTATATACAGTTACCATAAAAGACACGGGTTGTGAAACAAGTAATTGAAAAATATGAATGCCCATAACTCAAAAAACCCCGTAATATTTCTAGAAATGAAACTGCTACTTTCCATGACAATTTATTTTTAATGTTAGACTTTTGCTCATTTGTACTTAGCTGTCATCAATGAAAGTAAATAGAATCCAGAAGTGTGAATTTGAGAATAAAAAAGCTCCTGTTAGCATAGTTACTTTCAGTGACACAAGCAATAGCTACACTTAACAAGTATAAATGGATAATTTTTTTAATATTAAAGAGAAGCATTAGAACAACCTAATAAAAATATTTTTTGTAAAAAAGAGTAACATTCTTAAAATTTGTTTGGTGAAGAGAATACTGACTGCTGTATCAAATGATATTGAGACATATCCTCTAAAGCAGAGAGACTACACCACACTGAACAATAATCTGGAGTCTAACCAGGAGTTGGACATGGCTTCTGTGAAATACAGCATCCCAGAGCTGTCACCTCACATGAGAGCCACAGCTACCATGGCTTCTTTGTCTGTCAAGGTTTCAGTTCCATTATAAAGCTCAATTATTTTCCACTCATCTTCCACAGCTCCCTCTGTGTCCACTTAGTTTAACACTTTCCAGAGCAGCTTAAGGAGAAAACAACTCCCCATCAAGATATTTAACCAGTTCTCCTCCTTCTTCCTTTCCCTATGCAGTGGGTTTATGCAGAATAATTATGTCAAGGTAAAGTGGATGCTGGACATTAAAGTTTTCAGGACATGAACCTCAAAGGACATAGAACAGTTTGTGAAATGTCTCTCTATGACTAGGGGGCTTAAAGATATATTCTTCTGATAAATTATAAAAGAAAATTTGAGCAACTGAAGAGTTCATATTGCTCAAATTGCTAACACAAAATAAGAGCACAACTAATTCAGTCTTTACGATTCACAGTATTCTCTGTATCAAAGTGGGAGAAAGCAAAGAAGATTAAATAACTGCCTCGTCATAATTGTAAAATACAGCTCTATCAGAGCCCTTCATTAGCATGGGTCACTGGAAAAACAGTGAAATTTCACTCATAAAATTCAAATTCTGTCTCTCTTATTATTAAAGAAAAGGAAAAGAACTATAAACCTTGAAGAACCCTTACATTAAAGCAGTATACAGAAAAATGAGAATATTGCATCAAGAGGACTTCAGTCTGCCACTTATTTACTGCAGGAACACTCAAAAGGTGCTGTGATCGTGACAAGAGATCTCAATCAATCAATCCCTCATAATATATTCTCAGCACAATTTGTTTTCTCCTAGCACAATCCATTAAACTTCCTTACCCCAGTCTGTTCCATCTCCTGAGCTTCTCGATTCCCCATCACCTTCATCTGAGGTAACCAAAAAGTCAAACTCTTTCAAAGCTTCTTCTGTATCTCTGTCCTCACTGCTGTCAGATAGCACTCTTTTCCTAACAATCTGAAAGGTCAGGAAGGAGAGAAAAAAAGCTGAATTAAGTTACATGTACATCTTTATACCAAGCAATATTGTCTTGTCTTCTATGCAAAATCCTAACAGGAAGTTGAAGAAGCAAAAAAGTATACATTAATAAACAAATTAGGAATAAGCATATAGACTTGGTTCAAATTTTTAAGTCAAAATGAAATTTGTTTGTAGATATTTATTCCTGTGACCTCCAATAAACAATCACTTGATAATGAAGCTACACTGATCTAGACCATTACTATTTTTTTTTTAATACCAGAAAATTACAGACTTCCTATTAATACAGATTTTAAAAAAACACACAAAACCCACAAACAAAAAACATAGGATGCTGTAGAAAGGACTTCAGCAAAACCAATGTCACTCTGCTTCTCTGAAAATAGCCTTCTGAACTCTCACACCTCTGAAACCACTCTACATGTGGACCAAGAGACAAGTCTAGGAGAAGAAAAAAAAATCCATAACTGACAAGGGCTAACTTGCTTAGATTTGAGAAAAATCATTCCATCCTGAATACTTCCTCAGATATTACTGTTCTTTAAACACAGTACTGCCATGTTTAAGCTGCATTTCCCTTTCAAATTAAAAAACAAATTTGGTAAAAAAAAAAACCCAAAACCCTAAATTTTGGTAAAATAAAAAAAGACACGTTTTAGTGAAGGACCTCATTGTATGCTTTCTGCAATAAATTTACTTTCCCCTCAATAATCAAAATGGACTAGATGCTATACAGTTCTTTGACTAACAGGTGAGCTGATGCCATGATACATGAAATCTGTAACGTAAATTTTACTTCTACAGAAAAAGAAAAATTAAATTCATCACAATGTTTTGACTTAAAACCTTACTAAGGGTCAGTGTGAAAAGACTTCAATACAAAGGCCAAGATCCCGTAGTTCATAGGGACAAATGACTGTTTCCTCTAAATACAATGAACCAATTTCAAAACCTGAAGCAATTTTAAACATCAAGCTTCATTCCTTCAGCAGACTTATTGAACATACTGCATTACAGATGATTTTACAGAAGAGTCTCAGACACTAGTTCACAGTCCATGTAGGACAGGAACAAGTTTACAAATATCCTCTTCAAAAACTCTTTAAAAATTATGGCTTTATTCAGTATTCATTCTTAAAACTGATCACATAAACAATCACATCCATTGTAACTCTTACCTGCTTCAATTGTTAGGAAATACAACTCCTTGAATAAATAATTTTGAAAAGAAGAGGATAAAATTGAATACTGATTGTATTTATCTATTTTATGTAATCATATGCTAAAATCATATAGCAAAGTATAGATTATGAGGTAGTTTCAGGTATTTGACTGAATAAAAAACTAAAAAAAAGTTAATTAACCGCATGCTACAGTTTTCCCAATTAACACTTTTTCTTCATTCCACAAGCTATTTAAAGAAAAATGTAGTATTTCAGTTCTGCAGCCTATAAGGATAAATTTGTACAAGTCATTTTAAATATCAAGACATTTATATAAATATTCAATGAACAATGCATTTTTGACATGCAACATTACAAACAATACCTTCAAACTAAGTTGAAAATTGTAGGAAAAGAACATATGCTACCTTAAAAATTCTATCCAATATAGAATATATTAGGCAGTATGGAATAGTAGAAAGACAACTATAAAACTTTTGACCTGTCACTGCAAACTTAAAGCAAAGATGGCAAATTTTAACTTTTATGCACAAACTCAGAAATGCATATATAATTTCTCTTATGCACACATGCTTGGACAGACCATCTTAAAGATGCATTAATGATTTGCACGTGTACATACACAGTCATATACTTTGCATACAGGCATCTCATTAATCTCACTTTTCCTGTTCTTCGTAACTTTTTCAATTATTTTTTCCACTCACTGTTGCAGAATCAATGATTGTTTTCTCTCTTCCTTCAATATCTTCTTCATCTTCTTCATCACTAAAGTCTGCAGCTGCATTTTCAAGAAACTTGAAGGTCTCTAGCAGAGAGGCAGAGTCAGTCAATTCGGGTTTCCTAAACAACAACAACAACCACCATTCATGAGTCAGAAGAAATCATAACAAAATCACTTTTGCAATTATCAGTCTGTTCTGTATTATGATGTCCAACAACACATGAAACTAAAATAAGTCTACAGGTAAAAATAGACTATTACAGGCAAAAATATTTATGGATTAAAAAACTAAATATTATCCATAAACTTATTGGAACCAACAATTAATCTTCATCCAGCTGCAATTACCAAGACAGACACCTCAATTCTTTTATTTGAAAAGCATTTTAAAGCAACATTCATCTGATACGTGCCTTTGTTGGGGGGAGTGGGGG